GGGGGGGGGGGGGGGGGGTGAGGAGTAGTTAGGCGTACCACGTCTTTCCAGCTTGTCCGTCGTCGTCCTCGCGGTCGAGCAGTATCCATCACAATCGAAAATTTCTGTGATCGACGTGAAATAGTGCTCGAAACACTATTTTTCTCAGTCAGTAACAAAACGTTTACCGCACTGCTCTCTGGCATTGCAATTTTTCGCGTGGATTTTTGTATGACATCTAATTCTTATTCTGAGCAGTAGTGAAGTCAGTTGATGTTGTCATTCGCTTAAGGTCGAGGAGCTTCTGACAAACACCGACCACCACTTGACGCTCCGCACGGTCAAGATGTGTGCTATATTTGCGAAAAGTTCAGCGTGAGAAGCGACTTTTGCGTAAAACGGCGAGGATGGTGGGTTGGGAAATAGAGGTTGTCTTTTCCATTTCCTGAAAATTTGAGGATTTCTCCGACGGGAGGCCAGAACAGTGTCGGTATCTGTGGACAGTCTACGTCGGCTTCAACAAAATTCGTGGAAGCAAATCTCATCCCAGGAGAAGCGATCGTGCCTTCTATGGTGGGTGACGAAGAGGGTGCTCTCCTGCTCATCAGTTACAATACCGATCAGCTACAGTACTGATCTATCAACAATGCCACCTTCCTTGCTATCGAATCTACACTCCTTCTTCAGCGCGATCGCGAGCAACAAGCTTTAAAAGCTGAAAGGCAAAATTTTCTTGAAACTTTCCGAGCATCCTAATATTAAACCTCGATATTGTTAGCAGGAATACCAAACGCGCTTAATAGAGCTGAGCGCGGGAGCAATGGAAAGAGTTCGAAGGTTTTCGGCGAAGAATACAATGAAGTGGAGTACGCCTTTTTTTGGAGTCAAAAATAGAGAATTCTTTATTACCTCAGTCTTTAGAGAAGATTCACAGAACTTCAATTGACACACAAATCAATCTTCCGCAATTCGACAGAAAAACCCTTCCAATTACAAATACACAAGTTAAACACCTTATGCTTTGTAGTAAGAAAGTAGGCAAAGTTTGACGAAAGATACATCAAGCTAAGGCTGTAGAACCCCACCTGCCCAGTATACTAAAACATCATTAAAAGCCATAAGATGTCTGCTGAAAGCATGCAGTCATTTCTGCCGCAGGCTTAAGAATCAGGTCCATAATCAGCTGTGTTGATGGACCATCCATTTCATGGCTTCTGAATAAAATTATTTGTCAAGTGCTAATCCAAGTTTTACCACTTCTGTCGGGGCAATTCTTGCGTCGATTACGTGCTTGCAAATTCCAACGCAACTGTGTTGTCTTATGTTACGTGTCTGCGCTTTACACCAAAAAATATGTAGCAGCAACACGGCTCTACGAGCAATTCAGAAATGGTTGACCACCACCCAAGAAGTGTGACAGTTAAAGTGAGCAAAGCACGAATAACGGCGCTCATAAAGGAGTGCTCGAAACGCAATATGTCTAAAAGGTCTAGATAATACTTTNCACAGCAGGAAGGCTCGCTATGGGACAGCGGCTAGTACCGGTCCTTGCTGTCTGCTTCATGAGTCGAATTGAAAGTGCAGTGTTAGCACCTTCGCCCATAATGGTCTGCTGATATGTTGACAACTGTTTCGCCATAACTTTGACTTAAAGGCACTGTTCACGCTATAATGGCTTCTGAGGTGTCTCGGATAAACCTTTGACCTCCAAGGATAGTATAAAGAGCTGTAGGTCCGGAGAACTGCCAAGAATAGGCGTAATGAGTGCCGGCCTAGCCGACGTACACACCCATGGCGTAAAAGCTTTTAAGTGTTGTGGGAGCTGCAGATGTTGTACCATTCGAACCGGGACCCGCATCTTGCTGGCAGGCAGCCTATTGGAGCCAGTTCTATACAATGGCACGTATATGAGAACAGCTCGTCCAAATACCCCGCTGCGCAACTTCCGTCATCATATTCTTGTGCAACCCCTAATTTCACTTCTTTTTGGAGGCCCTATTTTTTTGAATACGTCGATTTCCTCGCCTTCCTCTCCTGTTTTCCATTACATATTTTGGATTACCTGATCTATGATACATCTTGAATCAGATAAATCAAATTTGTCGTAAACTTTACCTTCAAGGTATGCTCATAGTGTTCCTTGTTCACTCCTATAATTATTTTTTTCTGACATTCTGACCTCGACTCACGCTCCTCTATCAAAGTAGGCATCTGACCATACCTACTTTGATAACCCGCACACATTTTCCCGTTTCTGAAATGGTTTTTGTAGAAAAAAAAACTCTCATATGAGAGGACATCTCGTTCATCGTAGGCTGCGTTTCACCAATATACGCCACGTCTAGCACACTGAGACTGCTCATACCTGCAGAGTGTTCCGAATTACGGGCGCCCATTCATTGCAATGTATTTGAAGCTTCTAGTCCGAGAATGGTCATAAAATTAATATGCTTACATTATGTGCTGCAGAAACCCACAATCACATTCCAAAATATTCCCATTAGCCCAGATATAGGCCCAAAGTCTGTTCACTGACACTTCGCATGCTGCACGCAGGTATCCCTCCAACATTTCTCTCCAGTCGTTATTGGGTCTTGCTTTCAAGGTTTCCATATTGAGACTGCAAACCCGACAGTTTCTATCCTAATCAAGGAGTATACGTGGGAAGGACTCAGGTAGCTAAGGTGGGGGGCAGAATGGCCGGTCCTCTACGCTAATGAATTCGGACAGATGACATCGGTAACAGTCTTGGACGAGCTTGACTCTGCGGGATGGAGTACCACCCTGCTGGAAAGACCACGGGTGGTTTCAGGAAGCGGAGCTGGATCAACATACCAAGGACTTCTAGTATTGACCGTGATTCCCTCGGCAAACAACATTTTGCAACTTTCTTATAGCACCTTTCCCGTGAGTGATTGTAAATACTTTCGATGCTCCTGTCCAGAGCACGATCGTTTTACTTGTTGGGGATTGGCTCTGTCGTGAAATTTTTCTCATAAAAAACGATGAAGTGATGCGTGTTTTTCCCAATTTGAGTTTGCTACCACACTGCACTTTTCGGCACCACGCTGTCTGTATAGATCAGAAATGAAGTGGCATTTCTGCATACGGTAGGAATGGCAATGAAGCTTCTGCTTCGCAATCCTCCTCATGGGCAACTCCGATGAGTCCTAAACCGTCGCCTCGGAAAAGTCACCCAAGATTACGATCGACTCGCAAGTGAATTATTTTAATAGTAGTATCTAAAAACGCTCGCGAACTTACCCCTTCCGACTTTCTTTTTAATTACTTTCGTGTACGGTTATTATTGGAATTACAACGAATTTTGCTTGCCCTTCCACCTCTTGCATGCGAACCATAGCAAACGGCAATGAATGAGCCTTCACGAAGTGAAAATGTTTACAGTTCTACTTCAAAAATAATGCATCTCAGTAGGGAACCTACTTGTCCAACCAACTAATAACGAATGAAATGAAACTAATGGATTATTTCTAACCCCAGAAGATTCTGGATTTTGGCGCCTATAATTTTGGGATATCCTGAACAGTGTCTAGACATTGATGGAATCGAGTTACAAATTCGTGCAGAAAGTACCGCACACTGTGAAGGCGCTCCTCATACCACATATATTCCTTATATGCCTTAAATAAGTGTGGATCGAAGTCCCCTAAGGTAAATCAACCCATCCATTGCTACGTAGTGGGCGAATGGAACGCTGGAGATGAGATGGCTCGTGACGCACACTATCACACTCATGGTTCAACGATCAGGACTTTACCAAGCCAGGCACCCCTCCACCTCTGAAGTTCCGACTGTCAAACGTCTCGTCACAACAAGACAATCGTTGCGCCGTACAACTGCTTATCGTGCAACAGAGCGATGTTTTCTGCAGATCAGATCTGCAGGTTCAATACACAGTGTATTCGAAACACCACTTGACCGGTCATTTACATTGCCGGAAGGATGACAGGTGAAGTTTTCGAGTTGATGAGTGGATTCGGAGAAGAAACAAGACCGCCAGAACGATCGCCAACTCGATGGGCTGATGCATTTTCCAAGTATTCCGAAAAAAACGGCCTACATTGGATGCAAGTCGCGAGAAAAGGGGCGGTATGGAGGAAAGGTGGCGTACTTCTCCCACAACGAGCAGCGGTTCCGCGGCAACTGCCGGATCCTTTGAACGGGAATCCAAACCTTTCCCTTCATAGCCCGTGGCTGCGCGCAACTGCGTGCACCGAGCGCGACGCGATTTCCGGGAGAAAATACCACAACCATGGAGGAGCTGCGGTCCATTCTGCGAGACCGCCAATCGATGGAGCATCAGGGTGTCGAAGTCAGATGTATGGATGACCTACTAGTAACACAATTAAAACAATGAATATAGACACCTTCCTCACATCTATATATAAAAATCACTTTTTTATTCACTGTTCTCCGCACTATGTGCTGATCTAGCCACACTCATCTACGTACTGCTCATTCAACACTCATGGCAACAAGTCTCGATAATAATCCACAACCCTTTGTTTCTAGAACGTCGACTTTCTGAAGTTTTGAGAAATCCACATGAATGTTACCTGGATACCTTTTTTGGTGTTTTCTTCTTGCTTTTCCCTCATAATTGCTTATCCATTACAAATATAGAATCATAGTCTAAGTCTATTCCGTAGGACGATATGGCAACATACTTGAGAAGCCATCCATTCTCCACCTTCCTTGTACTCGGACTATGCACAACTGTAAGAGCAACGATATGAAACTAATAAAACGTTATCAGTGGTCAAATATTCATGTCCTCCATTCATGTCAAGACAGGAATTATTTATAAACTATTTATCAAAGAAAAGCAATGAATGAACAACAGCAATGAATGGCAACGAACAACACTATCCGTAAATTGAATAGCAAATAACAACAACAGTATCTAACAGCGCATGCATTTCTTTATAAAACTCTTCCCTTCTTTCTCATTGTCTGCAATTTCCTCTTTTTCTTATCATTTATTCGTTTTCCGATGTTTTCTTCACGTTTTTCTTGTCTCTGGAAAGAAATGCGATTGAAAAGCATGTAACTGTCTTACACCACACCACTTTGCCAATATTTTCTTAGCCAACCACTTCATTTGAGCCGAGATGTGTCCCGAGTGAATTAGAGAGCCAAACAAAGCCATACCTTTGCCTTTTCCTTCTCAACTCCTAATCTCCTATTCGACCAGTTTTCTTTCCGTTTCTCCTTCATTTTCTCTTTGCGCTTCATACCTTTCTTCAGCAGCTCCATGTTGTCCTGAATTTGAAAACTATCATAAGCAGAGCACTGAGAACCTATAGAATAAGGCACGTCTCTGGTGAAAGCATATAACCAACCCGAAAAGCAGGAAAACAGAATGGGAGTACAGTCTGCAGCAATTTGGTAACGAATCTTGTAAAACCTACTACTAGACCAGCAACGCAAAAGTTTATTACTCGCTTTAAAGTTGCAAAAAATTAAACCGAAATAAGCAGCCAATATTTTGGACATAAACAGAAAAACCGGAACCACTCCTTTACCTTCATTTTGATTCCCTGCGCTTTGCTCAGAGCGCGTTTCCATTTGATGTCATGTTCGAGCTCAGCAGCTTTTTCAGGTTCCTTCTCCCTGAGCTTTTCCAATTTTTCTTCTCTCTTCTCAACCTTCAATACGAAACTGAAGATGATAGTAAATGAAAAGAGGAAGACACTAAAACTTAGGAAAATCTTGTATAAAAAAACATGGCCCATTTCTCTATCAACCAATAATATAAACTCAATGAAAAAGACACGCAATGATAGGACACATCTACAACAAAGGACCAGGATGGGAATACTATCGTGGATGGCTCGACTGAACTTCGCCCATAGGGGTCGAGCGTGAGCGGAAACTGTTGATTCAGACCGAGAGGGAATGAAGAGAGTTACAAAATACAAAGGACCTTAGCAGAACTCATGATGTGTGGACAGCACGAACAGTGTCGCATGTTTGGGTGTTTGGTCGACAATGAACATCTTGCGTTCCTCTACCAGAACCTCTAAATGTGAAGGGATCAGGTGGTGGGCCAACTTTATCACGAAATGGAGGAGAGCCCGGTGTCAGCCACGACTGATACGTGCGCATTCAACGAGAGTTGATTTTTGCTTTTTAGGCTTTTGCTTTTGCCATACTGCGGTCTGCTGAGAGCAAAGCGCTGCGTCGTGAAAAGCACTACTTGCTCTCCTATACATGTACGCATACCAAGAAACCAAGGAAGAGTCGAACCACGGCTTGAATAGTAATGTCAGATACGGGTTTCAACCTAAATGCATTTTATCCAAGCTTACCTTGTTGATGAGCGATTTATAGTCTTTTCCTGTGAACTTCTGCTTTTTCTCCGATGTGCTCAACTGAAACGAATATTACGCAGAGTAAGCATTGCATTGCAAGAGTTGCTAAAGCCGACCGACTTTTCAAGTTTCTAGGAAAAACTAGGATTTTACGAAACCAGAGTAGCGTAGTACTACAGTTAACTACGAAAAATTGGTTAAGAACACTGAACTAACCCGCTTTTTCCTATTATTTTTGACAAGGAAATCGAACTTGGAAAACGTGACTGCTGAGCCATTTTCTTTGGATAGATCTTCATCCGTCTTCGCCTTTCGCAATCTAAATCGCCCAACTTACCGAAATTTCATGAGATATGAGATAATTAAGCTAAGAGAGCAAAGTGAAGTACTCCTGTTTAGATCCATCGGTTTTGCTTAGTTTCTGTTGAGACTTTCGACTCTTCAATTTCATCTTACTCATACGCCGCTTCAGTTTTCGTTCTTTCTCGAACATTAACGCCTTAGACGGATCACCGCCTGCTTTCTTCTTACCCTGACGAGTCTCTGAAACAGTCAACATTGAATAGCCATATGGCTCATGCAGGCACTGAAAGTTCGTTGATTATATTGGGCTGCTATCGATCACCTCGCGTAGAGACTTAATTTTAGGAAAAAGCAAAATTACTCTTTGCTTCTAATGATAATATAGCTAAAAAATATGCGAAAATATTCCATCTGGTCCTTATTTCAGCAACTGTCATGGAGTAGCAGGAAGAATTTTTCTTCGTCTCAACTTTTCTGAACTTTTCCCGTTTTTTTTAAATCCTATATATTTACATGCTTTAACAGCATGCGAGGTTTTGCGAACAGATCTTTCGAGCTGATACATGAAATCGCCTAAATAGGAGTTCTCCAAAGACCTAAGAAAAGCAAAATTTATGAGAGTAAGGTTGTAAATACCATCGAGAAACGATCCCAATATTTCAGCAAGGAGAAGGAAAGACGATTGCGTTTTCGAAGATACATAGCACTAAACAGTTCTTCAAGAAAAAGTGGTATCCCGGGTTTTACGCAAGTTCATCTGTGCTGCTAAGCTTGTATTGAATTTTCATTTCTGTTTCCATGAGAGGGCATCTATTGTAGACTTCTACGCGAATAGACCATCCGCTGACCACTTACAGCCGCTGTAACTACACAAAAACAGGTTGAAGTTTAAGTGAACAACATGATAAATGAATCGAGACGTGCAAAAAGAAGCTCCAAAAGGAGGGGAATAATGCTGCCCTAATGAACTCCGTGAGCTTTCCGTCATGACATAGAAACCACCCAAATGTCGAGGAAAAATCTAATTGTTGAAACCTGGCAGCAAGCAAATTTATTACAATGGCGGCCGCGATGCGATTTAGATCATAAGAGCGTTCTGCACACTACGGAAATAAAATATACAGTTGCTGCTTTCGAGTATACGCTCGATAAATTACATTATTCACTGTCATAGCACAACTTGCCTTTAACAAACTATTGAACCAACAGACTCCCTCTGAGGTATCTAGCTGTACGGGTATGGACCTCACTCCAGATTGCGATTACGTACCTCTCATTGCCTTCAGTTTTTCCTGCAGTTTCCGGATCGCCTGCTCGCGTTGTTCCATAATGTCCAATGTTTGATCTTTTGTCCCACATTGAACTGGCTTCTAAAAGTTTGAAGCCTATCATTATTTTTTATTTTTTTGAGTTGTTTAGCCCATTGACGACCGCGTGACCCGCCGGCGGGCCACACCATATCGTGCCCCTGCAGTATTATTTTTATCATTTATCAAGTGTTCTTATAATTTCTTCATGTTTTCAAGTATCAGCTGAGCTCACAACGTTCTAGAGAATCTTGAGTCGTCGGGTACAGGAATCATTCACTTCCAACTACAGTTATAAGAGAAATTAAAAGTTAATGTAAGGACAATGTAAATGGGGAGGACGCCAATGGGTTAATCATTACCAGAAATCGGTTCGGGGAAATTTTTGAGCTTCGCATTTGGAAATGCTAATGACGACCGTCTTTTCAAAATATCTCATTTCCTGAAGTTGTTCAACGACGAAAAATTCACCAAGGTACTGTTCTCCTTTNAAAAAACACCTTTACAATTGCAAAATTAGAAGATTTTCTAGGACCACGCTGTATATATTTTCATTTAGGCCTGATGTAATGTTTTGAGAAGAAGAATTGAAAAAAAGTGGAAATTTAGACAAATAAAACAAAAAATACAACTGCAGTCCACATGTGGACTGCAAGGTCGTCAATGGGTTAAAATTTGATTTGAATGAAATTTACACATTTCTTTACAGACCACTTAGTTAACCAACCACATCGAACTTAGATTTCTTCGGTTCCACCGCAGTAGGCTGAGAAGAAGGTCGTTTCTTCGATTTCACAACAGGTACACTTTCGACATGCTGCTCGGTGCTTTCGCCATCAGAAGAGTCGTCACTGCTAAGTGGCAAGTATAAGCGCCGAATTATTAGTTGATACAAAAACAATTAAATGATAACAACATCGAAGTACAAAGAAACTAGCTGGAATGTACGCCAAACATACCCAGAAGGTAACCCTTCCTTCGCAATTGAACTGCTCTCCTTGATTAAATTTTCAGTGGCGCTAGTTTTTGGCTCTGACGGTATCTGAACGAGAACAGAAAACAGGTATGGTCAATGAATGCTGCTTTACAAGGAGAATAAATAAGGGAAAAATATAAAACAGATTATCACGAGCAATGTATATTTGTATAAACTTACTTCCTTCCTCTTTTCTTTTTTCTCTGTTTGCTTTTTCCGGTCTTCTAACTTGGGTTGAGTTGAGGGATCAACTGACTGGATCAACAGAAAGATGTCAAAAGAATACAAAGATACAAACATTTACGAGACTACGCTCCGCCTGACCTTCTTAACTTTAGTGTCCCTTCCATGAGAAGTAGAGAATAAATCGATGACTTCGGAAACCTTGTTACAAATGCCACCCACACTTCGTGCAACTTGCTGCTTTTTGTTTTTCGTTAGCTTCTGCTTTTCTTCTGAAACACTGAACAATAAATGAAGCCTAAATGGAAGCGATTGCTCAAAAAGTGACGACATACTGGTTGTGAGCTGTTGATTCACAATCCTGTGTTTTCTTTCTCGCAGCTTTTTGTGGACTTCAGCTGTGAAACCCCAAGTCGAGATCGGTATCAAGTCGCATATATGTCTGAACTGAAACAAATCCCACTAATGACGGAGCAAATATCCAGAGCTTTTAACCTACCTTTCCTTCTATGGACGCAATTCTCGACAAATCCACGCCTGGAGATTGCACATCTGAAGCCATTACCGCAAACAATCTAAAGAGAAACTTGGAACTGATTGAAGAAATGCAACCACTCCTCAATTAGCAACTGCACTTTTAGGTGGACTCTCTATAAAGAATTAAACTTTGTCATGCAGCCAAGAAAAATGACCAATCAGAAAACTTTTCAAAATTCGAACGATTCTCCCAACAACAAACACAATGAGCGGGTTATAATTTACAAATTGCAATCCTCTGTCTGGAACTAATATAACGTGAATGACTAATGTGGGGCCGTACGTATAATGCCCAAAGTTCGAGAAGCAAGATCCCCTCAGGAGATGACTGCAAAGGTCGGAAACATTAAATGTTTCAGACTACAACGAACAGAAACGAAATTTCAGTACGGCACCCGGCTCTTACAGGAATCCGGTACGTGTTAATACGCAAATTTTCACCCGTCACATATACGACGCGTCGAAAACAGGGCATGGACAAGGAGACTGAAGTTGGTGGTGGACAGGTGAGAAGGTTACTATAAGAGCGGGGTGCCGGCCGGTACCGAATTTTCGTTTCCGTCGTGCTACTTCTACACGATTTATGTTAGTCCCCTTAGCGTTGAGATGCGGCTAATAAAGGTTCTATTGCTCATGCTTTAATGCAGCACTCGAGATACGGGTATGTGGGCTTACGTGTCCACGGCGAAGTTCGTAACGATTTGAACGACTTTAGTGCCTATCGTTGAGGCCCATATTTGAAGTAGAGTAGATTAAAAGGACCATTTGACCCTACTGAACTATTCTACTTCGAGTTTGTGCCCCGAAAATTGGCGTCAGGGTCGTATAAATCGTCACGAACTCTGCCGCGCGCATCCTCGGACACACGTAAGTCCCGTCCTCCCCGAGAGACAGCTCGAGTGCTGCATCAGCAACTCAAAAACGTTAAGTCTGTGTTGTCATACCAAGGACGAGCCGATGGAGTTAGTCTG